TCTCCCCTCTCCCTGGAAGGGCAGAAAATATTCACATTGGTACTCAGCTCTTCTATTCCAAAATTTGTTTGACGCTATCAGCATTGAACCTGTTACATATTTTTCCATTTGAAAGTCCTGGTAGGTTTCTAACTTCTTGAAATATCCTCTGCAAAGTTTCTGCCAACTTGTTTCAGAGGCAACTGCTTTTCTTCTCCTCTCTGTTACGTAAGTTATTCATACCTTCTTGACTGGTAGACTCCTGCACTGGTAACATTTACACTACATGTTCTCTGAAGCCAGAGAGTCATATCCTCAAAGTTCTTTTAAGTATGTGCCAGAATACAATTATCAGGGAATCATATCTCTCTCTTCCGGCACAAAGGATTTGCATTCACACAGTTCAGTTGTACAGCAGACAATCACTATTCTTAATTCAAATGGACTTATTTTGTGAGTGACTATGCAGCAACACAGGAATGCTGCAAAGCGATCTGTAGTTATTATAACTAGAACCCAGTTCGGTGTGCTCTAGGGAAAAGGAGGTTGCAAGAAACGGAACCTCTTTTTACTGATATCCAGGAAGATAAAGATTATTGTAATAGAAAGATTTCCAGGTTTGAGTAAGAGTCCAGATTCTTTCAAAGAAATATAGACTGTTAAGCTTTGACCATCTTCTATAGAAAGACAATTTTACAAATGGCTTTTGGGGTGATCTGTTACTCCAGAATACAAAGATTAACTATATTTTGAAGTAAAGACATTTTGGAGGAATATTGTAAAGCCATACTAACTTAATCCAAGGTGCTGGAGCTAAGTGAGCATCCTTTAAATAATTTTGAATTGCTCTCAGTTGAGCAACCTGGGTTCAGGAAGACTGTGGATGTAATTCTTTGAATCTTTTCAGAGTTATGCTAAAACACAGAAAGAAATGGGATTCAGGTCTGAACAGTTTTAAAACTTCAGGGATTTTAGGAGTAGACACCAGTTAGACTTTTCTTCAAAACCCAAGTTTTGGGTTCTTTTTTTTAATTGCCCGAGAGTAGCTTACTTGCAACCCAACTACTTTTCGGAGGAGAGTGGCAGAATGTGATGTTGAAGTTCAGAGGTATCTCCTGCTTAGTAGCTTGGTTCATGTCTGATTTGCTTTGCTCAGACCTGACTAACCACTTAATGAACACAATGAAGAAAAGATGGGATGGATGGGGAGTAGAATCAGGTTAACGTTACTTTGTCTGGAGAAATTTGTTGGGTTTTTTCTCACTTTTATGTCTTTCCTTTCAGGTGTGTCCACAATTTGAAACAACTAAGTCAGCGGTGTCGAAATGTCCTCACAAAACCCAGAAGCAGGATGGCAACTACAGTTCACTTCATGCAGGAGGAGCTTGTCGAAAAGCTATAACCCGCAAATTTCCTCCTTTAACTTTTGAGAATCCAGAAGGATATGCAGTCCATCCCTCAGATCAGCTGAATTGCTTGAGGAAGAACACGGAGCATGCTTACAGCCATCCCAAGAAAGGGACAGCAGCGAAAGACAACATCCAGGTGAGCAGCCCAGAGAACTGTAGAGAAATACCTTTGTTACCTGCTCCCCAGCCTGTGGAACCAGAAGTCTTTAGTCCACCAGATGTAGAGACTCCACAGATGCCTTCCAAAAGGAACCGGAGAGGTAGCAGCCAAGCGTGGCAACCAGAAAAAGAGCCGGTGTTCAGTATTGATCCCTGTGCGAGAAGGGAGTCAGCAGCAGTACTGGTTACAGATACTCCTGAGCATGAGTACGGCGTGAAGGTGACGTGGAGACAGCGGCCTCATCTAATGAAATACCTGCTGGAGAGAGGAACGCTGAGCCCTGCTGACGTACTGGTGAGGGTGGACCCTGAGCTCTCCAGGAGGCAGGCTGACATCTGACTTGGCAGGAGCAGCAATTTTGTCATGTGCAAGCGCACGCCCGAGCAGCGGTTGGTTTTGAGGACGAAGAGGGACGATGACTTAAGCCGAGCCCTGCACCATGGCTGGCTGATCCGGCTGAGAAAGGCCGGGGGGTGTTTTCTTGGGGATGGGAGTATGTTGGGCCGGGCTTCCATGGGGAACGCGGTAACTCTGTCAAGAATTTTGTAATCGACGCGGCCTCTTGCAGTGGCCGTT